ATCTTTTCCGGAATTGTATTACCATATTTGGTTCGCGAAAAATATCATTACTAGGTAATAATTTATAACCAATAGTAGTATATTCTAGTTAAAATAGTGGGAATGTCATTGCCTCTAAATTCTTAGGTACTGAACAATTCCCATCACTTTGGACACAAATACCCCTAAAATAATGAATTCTTTTCATATAGATCATTTTTAATTTTATTCTTCATGCTTTCTTCAAAATTATAAATTGAATAGTAATGAAATACAAAGAGTTTAATTTAGTAAAATATTAATAGATTTGAGTAGTTAAAATTATTTTATATTTTTAATATTTAATATATTAATCATTTTATAATTTTATGAAGTGAAAATATTATTATCGTAAAAAATATATTTATTTAAAACAATATCTAATTAAGTTATTAAAAATAGATCTTGTACATTGAAAAATAATATATTTGTCCACTTGAGACCACATTATTGTTTTTCGTATTATACTATATTTTATATAAATAAATATCATATATATGAAAATTATTTAGAAAATAAGTTTGATATACTAATTATATTAATTATATGTTAAACGTTTTTCTTTAAACTTAGATAGTGTAACAATTAAAATATTTTTATAAATTTTCATTCAAATATTTATAATTTAATATTAAAGTTTAACTTGATTTAATATTAGAAAAAACAACTTGAGTGGCCGAAAATGCCTTATAATATACGATTTTAACTAACTTGGGATTTACGAAAATAACCAACGAATTCGCAACACAGAATTTAAAATTCACAACGCGAATTTCTTTTTAATCACAACTCTCACACATATCCTAAAGTTAAGGTTTTCGTTGGGACCCATGTCTATTTTCGCAATGCGAATTCTCTTTTCGCAAGCTCCTCTTTTCCCCCTTATCCTCTCATGCTTCAAAGCCAAAGACTCTCTCTTCCCCCCTCTCCACCCCTTGTATCTCCTGTTTCAATTTCCGGGAGTGAATGTAGGAAGTGCAGATGGTGGATCAGGTGTGAACATTCAACCTTTCCTCACAACTTCTATGGGTTCTGGAGATGAAGAAATGGAGTTCCCAATATCCATTTCGTTAACACCTGAGGGAGAGGAGTTCCTAATATCCATTTTTCCAATATCAGAATAACCCAAAACATTTGGCGTCATACTTAAAGCTCCAAATAAATTCGATGTATCTGTCACGGGGCTAGTGTTTGTCATATCCAGTTCATCTTTCGCAACATTTACATGTTTTGGAGATGAAGAAGCAAAATCAAGGGATGAGCAATCCACACTTCCACCTCTTGCCCGTTGAAAACCTGTTGCACTGGATCCTCCACTTGGACACCCGCCTAGCAAACAGATAAAAAGTGGAAATAAAAATATTCAACGATATGACGAGAGATAGAATGGAAGTGAACGATTCGAAAGAAAGAAAATCTAGAGATGGAGTTTAGCAAAAGAACAACAAGCTCACCTTCTTAAGGATGAGACTGTTCGCACGATATATGGCCATTTCACCGGAAGTTGCACTATGATATGGGTTCCCTTTTGGAACCTTAGCAGATGGATGTTTGTGTTCCTTTGGTTGATTCATTGAAGCAGGAGAGGATAAGGAGAAAAGAGAATTCGCATTGCGAAAATAGAAATTCGCATTGTGAAAATAGACATGGGTCCCAATGAAAACCTTAACATTTGGGTGTTGCGAATTCTAAATTCTGTATTGTGAATTTCAAATTTTGTCTTGCGAATTTGGAAACTGTGTTGCGAAATTAGAGTTCGTGTTGCGGATTTGAAATCTCGTTGCGAATTCGTTGGTTATTTTTACAAATCCAAAAAAGTTGGTTAAAATCGTATATTATAAGGCATTTTCGGTCACTCAAGTTATTTTCTCTTAATATTAAAGTTTAACTTGTTAAAAAGAACATATATCACAAGGATAATTTGGTAAATTATGCATCCAAGTAATCTTAAGGTCCGTTTGGTTTTAGAAAATATAAGCTATTTTCATTTTCTTAGAAAAATAGAAAACATTGAAGAAAATATGCTTGGTTGTAAAATTGAAAAATAATTTCTGGAGAATAAAAATAAAAATAAATGAAAAATATGAAAAACATAAAAAATGTTTTCAGTATTTTCATTAAAATTGTTTTAGAAATTTGAAACGTATGGAAACATGAGATCTAGATTTTTAACTTAACTTACACAAATTCAAATTATTCTAACAATAATTTTTTTATTTAATGGTATCTGAAACTCTCAAACTTTTATAAAAGAAAAAAATTAAGATCAATATGGTCCCTGAACATTTTTTATACTCAATATAGTCCTTAAATTGAATTTTTTAATAATTTAATTTTGTAATATTTTTGTATTTAATGTATTGAATACCTTAATAATTGTTTATATTTTATATTTTTAATTTAAATAATTTAAAAAAAATTAAATAAGTCCTTAAACTTTCTAAGAAACAATTATGCCATCAAACTTAGTCAAAAAGTCAATTAAGCTCATCCACCACATCATCGTCTATCATATATTATCACAATAATATCGAAACTATCACATCAATATCGAAACTATCACATCAATATTGTAGACTGTCATATAAATTTATGAATTGTCATGTAAGTGTCATGAGAGTCAACGTCTAATTTCTTCCTTCAAAGGGTTAGATTACTTTTTTTAGTGCAAAAATCATTCAAGGGCTATACTAATTATTTTTTACCAAAAGTTTGAGGGACTCAATTATCATTAAACATATTTTTATTTAGTGAAACTTTTGTGTGCTCTTTCTTATAACAATATTTTGTGTATTTTTTAAAATTTAACTGATGTCCAGGATAAAATAACATTATATTCTTATTATAAATTAAAATAAATTTTGTGTTATTAAATTGCTTATCAACTTTATTGTTTTTATATTTGCATAACTCACATGTTAAGTTAATGTAATGAATTTTTTTATTGATAATTATAGTTTAATTTAATTTTTGTAATAACTCACATGTGAGAGGATCCCATCGAAACCGGGTGTAGTGGAAGAACTTCCCTTAACCGCGGGGCAGTGGTTGAACTTCCCTGAACCGTCAGTGCGGTAGTTGAACTTCCCTGTGTCGTAGGTGCAGTGACGGAGCTTCCCTGAACCGGAGGTGCGGTGACAAAATGCGCTTGAATCCCACGTACATGGCCAACTTCTGGGGCCACATACTCGTCGTTCCCGACTGCCGCTCCATATTTGCTTTGGTTTGTAACAGTAAAGTGGATGTGTAGCGGTGTGGCATTGACGCAGGTCAATTAGATATTAATATTTTATTACCAACTGGTCTACAAAGCTATAATATTTGTTTGTTTCTAAATTTTAAAAAAAGTAACTTATTAATTATATTTTCTTCCCATTATATCACATACCTACTATTCCGGGAAAGAGAAATCATGATTTCTTCTTCCATTTGTCTTCTCCCTTTGTTCTACCATTTGTGTCTTTTATTATTTTATCTCTATATGATTAATTAGCACAAGTATTTGATCATATCCCGGATCTGGTTTATGTCTATACCAAGTAGGAATTATTACAACCTAAGTATGAGAAACAAAAAGTTCATATTTTACATTTTTAATTTTAACGACATCGTTAAAAAAAAGGTCAATGTGAAAAAAAAAATTTAAGAAAATTTTTAAGACGATAATTAAGAATAAACAATAAAATATGTTGTTTCCTCAATAGAAAATGTTATTATCAAGAATAATGATATCCTTTTTATTTGTGAAATGTTTGTCGATATTTTGGAAGAAACTGATATTAGAAGCAACATATCCACCACCACTATATGAAAAATTGTTATAAGACATTGTGGCCACTTCTGGATCACTAAAATCATCGAACATTGTCTTCTAAAAATGCTCTGATACCATATTGATTTACTTCTTCCACAGTAATTCATGAAAACTCTTTGAATACTAGGAGGAGAAGAAGAGGATGAAGATATCTAGAGAAAGAAACAACTAGTAAAACAATCGACGTAAACAACATAGTAGAGAATCCATGGGATATAACAATGCATTTATTGAACATTAATGTATACAAGAAAACGTGAAGTCAGAGAAAGAGAAACCAACATATTCAAACGTTACCTTAGGGTTTAAACAACTAGTAAACAATCGACGTAAACAACATAGTAGAGAATCCATGGGATATAACAATGCATTTATTGAACATTAATGTATACAAGAAAACGTGAAGTCAGAGAAAGAGAAACCAACATATTCAAACGTTACCTTAGGGTTTCTGACATAAGCATTACTAAAAGCTACATAGAAAGAGAATATGGGTTAAAGATTACTTGACACTCGATTCCAAAGTTTTTTTGATAGTCCATTATCCCCTATCAGAGATGGAACCTTCTAGCTTAATCTATCAGAGAAGATAACATGTTTAACACGAATGGAGGATGGTTACAACATGAACATAACCAATTTGACTTGAGTCCACAGAACTACATTCATTGGACCAACAGTGAAATGGAGAGTGGGACACCCCTAAACTCAACCTCCATATTGTTTGTAAAGAAATCCAATTCTAAAAGATAAAACCCTACTGTATCAAATAGAATCAAAACTCATCAAATTCAAATATTTTCATCATCCTTATTTATGACATCAAAACACATAAGTACATATATTATTGAAAAAATTGATAAATTTTAAAGGTCATTTATGACATTATCGATACATTAATTTTACTAAATATATTAAAATTGAAGTATAAAACCAACTTTGAACATTTATAAAGAGAAGGGAAAAGCGCATGAATGAATAACTCATCATGAATTATGTTTTACAAATCCAGTCTCTTATCCATACAAAAAGGAGACAATGCTGAATGCATTGAGTGGGACAGTTTCTGTTCGATGCAAACTGGACCTAGCTTATTAATTATTCAAGCATGGAAGGCAAGATTGTTCGACAAGTGCCGAAAGCCGAAAGCCGAAAGCCGAAAACCAAAGTCAATCCAAAGGGCAAGCTTTCTCAAAGGCTTGCTGCTCTTTGCGACACAAATCAAACTCATTTGTATGGTAATACATGCATCCCACATAAGCTTCCATGGGGTCTTTGCATCTCTGATACAGATCTTTTAGCCTGCACCACACTCAGTCCAACATTCCATAACTCAGCTAAAATTAAAATACAAAATCATTATAGTGACACATTGTAGCCAGTTTCATTTTCAAATATGGAAAAGGTAGTTTCCCATTGCTAGCAGGAAAAAAAGAACGTAAAACCATGTTTGAATCTTCATTTTTCTTGAAGCACCCATTGTCTAAAAGTATACCTATGTTTGATGCATATTCGTACGAAGGTACAAAGCATAGTCACATGGATCGCGGTACGCTCGGTACGGGAATGTGGAACGGGATCTCAATTCGCTAGGTCCCTAAAATTCGGTACGAGGGGGGTAGACTTCTTTCGGATCGCTCCGGTACAATGTACCATATAAATTGGTACGATGTACCAGTTTCTTAGATAGAGATCAATTATGCATGGCTCCTTTAGGAACAAAATAATTCAAAACTCAAAATCTAATATGCATAAATCCGATTTAAGGACTAAAATAAATTGAATAAAAAATGAGCATGGCTCCTTTAGGAATAAACCCACGCGAACAAAAATGGACCACCCTGAACCCCAATTAAACGGCAGTGTTTAACCAAACTATCTAAAGCCTTTAAAATTTAACCTAAAAATAGATCATAATTTATGCTAAACCTAATCCCTTTCCCCTGCGCCGTTTTGAACCTCTTCTCTTCTTCATCCTCTACTCCTCACACCCGCATGGCCGAAAGTCTTCACAGCCTCAGACCCGAGCAACTTCGAACCCTCTTCTCTTCCATCACCTAAGAAGGAAACCCAAAAGGCTTCGATCATCGATCATCAGCCCCGACGAGCAGCTGTTTTGAAACGGTTTCCCCTCTCCCTCTTATTCTCCTCTGATTTTTTCTCTCAAACCCCCAATCACTTTATTTTTCTGATTGCATCTCCTCTTATCCCTGCTGCAAAACTACGATGTACCGAATCGCGATTTTGAAACGATCCGAACGCGGCGTTTTGGATCGCAACGTTCAGTACGTAGATCGTGGCCAAATGAGCGATTTATGTAACTATGGTACAAAGATATAGCCCTCCAAAGTTACTCCAAATACATTGAAAAATCATAAAAGAAAATATGAACAATGCACATATCCGATGCTCACACTCGAGTTCAAGTGGCATAGAATAAGAACTGCAAAATATTTTGCTTTCTATTTTTAAGCTACAAAGTGCAGATATCAATAGTAAGAGAAAGTGGCAAATAGCTGGTAGTATCCTACAAACTGAGAAGCCCCATTGTAACAATCAAAGACAAAGAAGAGACCAACAACTAATACAACTTTGTTGTTTTTCTGTAAGTAGTAGATCGAAATCAGATTCAAACTAACATAAATAGGAAGAACAAACATCCGATTCTAGGGCTTGGCTAAATTTGAATCTATTTTGCTTAATCATGCAGAGCCCAACATGGACTTGTTTTAAAATGCTAATCGTAAAACAAATTCAGATCGATCAACATGACACCAATGTTAAATTCGGCAAAGCAGCACATTTTAGATGATTGATCAAAATCAGTGATGCTCATTTCCACACCCGAAGAGATTAGACCTACGTTTCCTGTATTCGGGTGTGAGTTCGGATTCGAATATGCTCAATTTTTAAAATGCTTTTTCATGTATTTGGATGATCATATGCCAGTAACAACATCCAACTATATGTCGGAAATCGATAGTTTTGGGGAAAAAGCACTGATCCCTGTACTTTTAGCCACACTTTCATAGCATAAAACCTCCGAAAAGGAAAACCAATTCCAAATTCTCTAACAATGCTACATTTCTATTGAAGAAATTTGAAACCCTAATGATAATTATCATCATATTCCAGTTTAATTCCTTCCCAATTCTAACATTATCTAACACGAAACAATTAAGCTATAGACTCAACAAAGAAACTGAGAATTAAAAAGCTTACACTCCAAGTGCACATCGAGTAGCTTGGCGGCCCTTGTCGAGACATTTCTCAGGGTTCGGATCTTTCTTCTTACACTTGATGAACTCCACGTTTTCGGACATACATTTGATTTCAATGTGCTTCGCGGCTGACATCAACACAGATGATGTCGGGATCGGTTCCCCCACCGCATCCACCACTTTCGTCGCCCATTCTCCGCCGCCGAACTCTGAATAAAGATCGTTTCTTTCTGCACCGATAATGAAATCCCTAAAAGATGCGTGCGTGAGAGAGAGAGAGAGAGAGAGAGAGAGAGAGAGAGAGATGGGGTAATTGACCCATATTTCTTAAACAGATGCCAGGTTCGTAATTCCATTTTTTGAATGGTATTTTCGTCATCAAATTTAGGTAAACTATGTGAATAATCCCTTTTATTTAGGGTTGACTGATTTTAGTTATCAATTTAAAAATTCAAGGTAAATGTCCCTCTGTTATTAATTTCAGTTAACCCCTTTTGTTTAAGTCTATTTGTTTAAGTCCGTAACATGGTTGAGGGAGTAAAATTGAACAAGAGTTAAAAGTTGAGGGATTAATCGAGCAAAATCGATAACATTAGGGATTAAATCGAATAAATCGATAAGGATCATTTCCCTTTAATTTTTAAATTAGTGACCAAAGTCGGTCAGATCAAAAATATAGGGGATAATTGGCATAGTTTACCCTTAAATTCTTTTTTTCTTAACTTCTTATAGGCATCACATGTCCTCAAAATATAATACTTATTTTAAATTGGTTCTTAAAATTTTAAATGTTTCAATTTCATCCAAAAATATGATTATAATTCTAAATTAGTCCTCAAATTTTTAAACATTTCAATTTCATCCATAAACTATTGCTTTCATTCTAATTTGGACCCTAAATTTTTTTAACATTCCAATTTCATCCCAAACCATATGTATATACTAATCACATCTCTTGCTAGTAAAAATGTTAGGCCAAGTTATATTATTATACATTAAAAAAACAAAATTTATGTTAAACTATGGTTGAAATTAATTACATATTTGGATGAATGTGGGGATAAAATTAGAATATTTAAAAATTTTGGATCAATTTAGAAAGAGTCATTTTATAGGGATTAAATTATAATTTTCAAAAGTTTAAGGACAAATTTTGAATGTAAGTCGTAAATAGAGGATAAAATTAAAATATTCAAAAATTTAAGAACTAATTTAAAATAAAGGTAATAATTTGGAGACATATGATGCAATTAACTCCTTCTTTTAGCCCCCCAAAACCTTCGCATTCTTCTGTTTCTTTGCTCTTTCTCTTCTTTTTCTCTTCAGCCAAACATCAAAACAGCCGTTTCCCGAGACACTTTAGCGGTAAGTTAATATGTTTTTTTTGTCTGATTTAATGCTAAAGCTACTTCTTTGCTTAGTTTTTTTTAAATATGTTTCTTATGGTTTTGTTATGGAGAAGTGTTGAATTTACTGCAAATTTTTAGAGATGTTCGAATTGATTTTAGCCTGGACATGTCAAGCGTTTGAACTCAGGAAAAAGGTTTCACTTTTCTTTTCTGTTTCATTGTTGCAAAGGAAGTTTTTCTAATTGAATTTACTTCCGAAGCCCATTTTTCTTATGCAATGGATAAGATATTTGGCATCAATAATCTACTTAGTTAGGGTGATTTTGGAGAAAATAAAGAAAACCCTGAATTTCAAGCAACGTCCCTTGCTTTCTTACCACGTTTAGGCTATACCGATAAATCCGAACTTACCACGTTTAGGCTATACCGATAAATCCGAAGAGCTGGTGATAGGTTATCCCATTTTTGTTCTGAAATGAGCAGGACGTCACCCGTCGGCATTTACTATCACTTAAGTTGCTGGGGGTGGGGGTGGGGGTGGATATAATGAAGTAAAGGCCTGATTATCGAGCAATGTCCTTTGCATTCGAGACTTAATTTGCTGAAGCTTGTAATTAGTTGTAAACTTGCAAAATGGTAATTCATTAGCAATAGGGTGATTATCGATTATGACTTTTTCTCTGAGAGTCGGTATTGTCAAGGAATTGTGCCTAAGAACCTTGCAGCAAAAGCACCTTAGACCCTTCCGGGTGAGATTCATTTGATTGTGTGCACGCCTGGTGTGCCTAGAAGTGCATCTTTTATAAGGCGATAGGTGCAAAGACTGCCCTATTGAAGTTCTTTTTTGATCTCTTTTACTTTTAACTCTTTCCATTAGTCGTGCCTTTACTAGTAAGAAAGGGATGATACACTTCTCCATACTTTAGTATTCAACATCAAACATGGGATCAATAGGAATTTTCATTTTGTCAATAAAATAAAAGGGTAAATTTGCAAGTTTTGTAGGTAAATTCGATCACTCTTTAGAGTTTATTATCTTAATTATATATATGTTGCAGACGTGTTTAGTGGAAGACCATGGCAAGTGAAGAAATTAGCTGGAACTTAGCTTAAATAGAATATTAGTTAAATAAGGTTTCTTCTTTAAAGAATCCATTTAAAGTATTAATATCCCTATGAATTAGTAGTCTTTCCTATTTTTCGTAATTTCTTAGTATAAACATTATAAACCTATTTAAGAGAGCTAATTTCTTGTTAATGCAATGAGAAATAATTATTCCAAAACCTATGAGATTGAAGCTCTCACTTAATTAGGTTTAAGGTATCAACATCCCTTTGATGAGTTGAAGCTTCGTACAAGATAAATCGCTCAAGAAAGTAGAATGTGTGATTTAATTGTGCATCGATCAGTGACAATCCTTGTCTAGGAAACTAAAAAATTGGCATAAGAATCAATGATTATCGGCAGTCAAGGAACACATGAGGAACTGAGGGCTCTGTTGGGAAAAATTTACCGAGTATTGTACGTTGCATTTTGACCCTTCATTATGAGGTAATACTATAGATATTGAAGAAAGAAGAATTAAGATATTAATGAGGTAAAGACGTCAGAATCTCACTGCCTCCCCCTTTCCTGCAAGGTTTCTAAGTTAATAAACTTCATTGTTTATGAATATATTAGTCATTGAACCTGAGCTGAGCTCGGTGAAAGAGATTGTCCAGGTCTGGCACAAATTAACTGGATTTGTTGGCCATGTGGGGCCATCGAGCCCATAGAGACTAATTATACATTCCGAGTGCTGTAGTATATAATGGTTTCTATTGCTTTATAAGTCATCTTTGGACCTATTTGGTGCTCATGGTATGTATTTGGACTGTTGACGGTTGCTCACTCGCTTGATGCTTGTTTAAATTGCGTGCATCTAAAACTGTGTTGACGGTTATTCATATGTATATACAGAATGGTAGGATCAATTTTTTGTTCTGGCTTTTTAAAGACCGTTTATATTTTAAAAAGAGCTTTCATCTCTACTGATTCGATCGTGTTTTCCCGCATACATTTAGAAATGGGTGACAAGAAGAAAAAGACTTTTATGTTTATCCGTCTTGTATCGGCTGCTGGGACCGGATTCTTTTATGTGAAGAGGAAAAGTGCTAAGAAAGTGGCTGAGAAACTCGAGTTCCGCAAGTATGATCCCCGGGTAAATCGCCATGTTCTTTTCACAGAACAAAAGATGAAATAAGGGAACCTGTTGTGTTCCAGCTTTTCTGTTCTCGTCCAGTCTTTCTATACGTATGCAGTACATACTGTTTTTTGCATAGATGACGCCAAAATATTCGAAACAGAATAGAAGACTGTTTTTGTTTAGTTACATCTGTTTAAGCCTGCATCATGTATCAAGTGCTTTATTTAAATAACTGATCAAGGCAATTATTCCTATATAAAAACCATATTGTTGACATCCTTAGACCTTAAACTCTAAACTCTTGCATCAGGCACCAATTTTTCTCATTTCATGTACTCAAACAATCGATTATGTTATATCGGTATGCTCAGTGGGGTCAGGGTCGGTTCAGAAAACTAAATCCCGGGATAGTTTTGGTGTGCGATAACCTAACTTAAGGTCAATTTGTTGTGGGTTTTAATCTAAAACATTATCTTATCTAATTTAAAATGTCATACAATTAATAATAATTTCGGTTACAATAAAAAATATCTTGTCGGTAATGTTTAGGTTGCAGTCATAATAATTATAAAAAAACGTAATATTTTTTGTCGTAATATTTTTTGTTTCAACCTGAAATGTTACTAAGATTACTTTAAAAAGTTGTGATTTTAATAATTTTTTTATTACAATCGATTTGTCTTTTTTTTTTAAAATCTTGTATTAGCTGGTTTTGTTTTAGACTCGTATTGTGTTAACAATATCCGAGAGAGGTTCCCGGTCATCCACGCTCGGTAGCTGATCAATTCTTCTTTGGAAATAACAACAAATTCGATGAAGGGTGTGTTTGGTAATACTGTCTAAAAGTATGCCAAACGGATAAAAATTAAAAAGAAAAGTGTTGTGAAAACGGGGATTTCAAACATATTGCAAAAGCTAAGATTTCTAATTTTTTTCATTTTCAACTTTACTTTAAAAGCAAATTTATATTTTTACCCTTACTAATGCTTCACTTATTTGCCTTGGAAAAGAATTTTAAAATTCAATTTAAGTATGTATTTACATTTATTTCAATAATTTTACTAATATCCTTAAAAAATAATTTATTGCTTAACAATTTATTTTAATTACTTTTTTATTAATCTGAGGTAAGTGCAAAGAAGTACATGTTCAAGATAACTCTCAACCTCTCGACATTGAATGCTCACACCCTCGGCATCTATGGTGCTCGAACCCGGGTTCTCAAAGAATAAACAATTCATTTACTACAGAGGCCACTTGGTTCGTGCATTTATTTTAATTACTTAAAAGTAAATAAAATTTATGACTTATATATTAAAATATTAATCGTGAGTTATTATAAAATGTATTTTTATTTTTATTATAATTTAAATAGATATATTTCATATATAATAATAATATTCTTTAAATTTATTTATAATATATATTTTTATTTTTGAATGATTAAAAGGATAAATATATTATTTAAATTATTTTATTTTAAATTTTAAATGAGTGATTGTGGTTAATCGGAATAATCAAAATATTATTTTAATATTCAAATGTTAAAAAGTATTGATAATACATTTTTCCTTAATAAAAAATTTCTTATATAAAAATATTATTAATAAGTTATCTTACAATATTTCTTTTATATTGTTTTATAGTTTAAGTTGATATATTTTATATATCCATATTATTAATAATAAGTGTGAATATAATTTAAATGTTATATTTTTAATTTATAACATAATATCTAAAATGTATATTTTATCTTTTTAAACTCACTTTTTAACAATAATCTCAAATAATTAAATTTTAAACTATAATCTTAAAAAACATTAAAATTTATATAACACTTTCAAAAGTTACTTTTTTAAATCGGTTGAGATCCGACGTCTACAATTAATTTATTGCATACATTTGACATTCTTCGCACATTATCGCATACATTGTTTGCTTTAATGGAAATCTTCAATCAATGCATAAACTCGATGACTTGATTTGTGTCATGTTGGTATGGTTGAAATAATAGATATTTTAGTTACTTCCACCATTGATAATAACAGTCACCGGAAGAAAGATGAGAGTCTTGGTCTATAATATCTCCGGTCATTTATTTATCTATAATTTATTGTTGAAGAATTCATCTTTAATGCCGTCTTCCCACCTCTTCAAGACTTTGACTTCACAATGTGTATTTAAATTATGTTATATATTTTTTAAAGGATAAAGTACATAAATGGTCCCCTAACTATATGATATTATTTTGTTGAGTCCCCCAACTATTAAAAGTTACATCATGATCCCTTTACTATAGAGAGTTACTTGGTTGAGTCCCTCGACTATTAAAAGTTACAAAATAGTCATCTGACTATTCATTATGTTTCAAACTAGTCCTTCCCCGTTAAAAAATTAACGTCGTTCTGAGCTGGACGTTAACCCCACCGACTGAGATATGATAAAATATGATCTCATAATCTCAAACGAATATCATATCTCAGTTAGCATATTAGCGTCCAACTCTGATGACCATTATTTTTTTTAGCGGAAAATGACGAGTTTGGAACATAATGAACAGTCGAGTGATCATTTTGTAACTCGTAATAATCGAGGGACTCAATAAAGTAACTCTCCATAGTTGAGGTGTCCTTTTGTAACTTTTAATAGCTAGGGGAATCAAAAAAGCAGTATCCTATAATCAGAGGATCATTTGTGTACTTTACCCTTTTCTTTAAATAATATGAGATAATTACAAGATAATATTTGAGCTGATGAAGCCATGATTAAACTATAAGGGGTAAGTTGTTTAATTCTAAAATAAATAAGATCTTTAAAATTGAATAAACCATAAAATTTAAAGGAGTCATGATTTAATTCACTAATTTTAAATTTGAAGGGTCTTAAAGAGTAATTAAACCAGAAAAATTAGAAGTCAAAATTTTATTTTAAAACTAAAAGGGTCCTTATCTGTAATTAAACCAGTAAATTTCGGGAGGGAAAATAACTTAATTGTAATGATTTTAAAAATATTAATGACCTAAAGCTAATTAAATCATCAAAATCGGGGTTCATTTACTCTTCCCACCTCCCATGTAAATTCATCCTTCTGTATAATTGTTCAGATCTAAATTCTTTTAAAAGAATAACATTTTCATCTAAGCTTGGTTCCGTATTTTATTTATAAAGTTAATGATTTATTATATTTGAATTCAATTTTATTTTAATTAACTAAATATATAAAATTTAAATCAGAAAAAAATAAAGATATGCTATAGAAAATATTTTCTTTTTATTGGAAAAATTCATGAACCGAATTAATTTAAGTCAATAAAATTGGTGCTAAGTCAATTTAATAATACATGTTTTCTAAAAGGTATAAATACAATTAATATGGATTCAATGAACTTAACAGTCAATGGAAAGACTACACAAACAATTATTAGAAAATGATTTACATAATATCATTAAAACATCGTAAAATAGTTTCTGTAAATTATTTTCAAAAAAATATAATTTATTTTACGTAAAACAATTTTTATGTAATTTATTTTATGTAAATTATTTTTCATAAAATCAATTACAAACAAACCCTAATACAATATATATATATATATATTTAATTTTAATATTTTTTATATCGTCGAGTCTAAGTCAATAATAGCACGCAAAGACCAGTTATGTTTCTTTTACCAATTATTTGGCAACGAAATATAAAACATTTATTTGAATTGAACCTACCTCAGTTAATGCGTATGAATTTTCAATCAAAAGTGTTTTAGATATATTATATTTGACATTTTAAAATAAAAAAATAGAACTCATCGAATTTTAGGGTAAATAGTTAAAAGTTTTTAGTTAACACATTTTTTCGTTTTTAGATGGTCGGTTTAATAATCAATACCCATTAAGAATAAGTTTTTCTTTTCCCTCCTCTTAAATAAAAATTGTTCGCACGAATTAAACGATCTCAGTTGTTAAAGGGATGATTTATTATACATAGAGCTCTCAAGTTTAAGCACCAACAATAATAGAGTATTTGAGTGCTCAATGTCAGAAGGTGGAGAATATTTAGAATAAATACTACTACTTGTAATCACCCTAGATCAATAAAAAAATAAAAATTGATAAAAAAGAATAAAAAATACATATATTCAATGATTACAAAATATTTTTTTTACAGAAATAGAAGCAATTAATTCTATTATGAAAGAAAAAAGTTCAAGATTACAATGAGTGTTTACAATTAGATCTATAAACTAAACTAATAAGTAGGATATTCTCATATAACCATTAACACAAAAAATAAGTCATTAAAGATTATATAAGCATCATATAAGGAAAAAGTGAAAACCCCATTTAAAAAAACTCTATCAATAAGTAAATATGAATATATCTAACTACTACGGCAAACGAACATAACATAATATTTAACTATTGAAAGACCACTGACAAACAAAAATCAAAGTCAATTATCATGAGAAACTATCTAGGAATGAAGGTTTCGTATTCACATCAAATTCGAGAGTCCAAAACAAAAATATTAACGGGATAATAAATGGGAATCATCTTGATTAGTCACGTCAATGTCAAATTCAACTCTTAAAAAATAAATGACAAGAACGACCAAACGATTAAAAAGTAAACCCAAAAAGCGTATCAAAAGATAGAGATAACGTATCGTAAAGATAGAAAAATAGTGTGATAAAAACAGAGTTACTAGAAACAAAAGAAAAATAAAAATTACGAACGACAATAATCAACACTAAGATACCGTCATCTACTAATCAAAGATGAAAAATAAAGAAACGAGCAATAGTTTAGAGAAAAAAGAAGAAGAAATGATTCGAGTTTACAAAGAAATTTTATTGTTTTCAATTTTTTTTATTAAGTTAAGCTAATTACAAAGTAATATATGTTTTAAATATTCTCAATCATTTGACAATGAATGTCCAATCTCCTTTACAGTCGTTGGTGCTAAAAGCTATGACATATGACAATAATAACTATTTTTTAACCACTGAGGTAAATTAGTCCATGATACTGTTTTTTGTTAGTTTATATATTAATAGTTTTAGGAAAATGAATAATTTATGTTATGTAAATTTTCCTTTATGTTATGTAAACTTAGTTTTTTTTTCTTATGCTGTGCGACTTTTTGCCTACAAGTTTA